CTTTTAAGGCAAAAGCAGTATGAGGGATACAAGAACAATCAACCAAGAAGATAAAATAATAACAATTTTGAATACAGTTAGTAATATTGTCTCAAAACGTATATAGCAAAAGCTGTATTACAAAGAAAAATTGATAAATCTGTAATCATAGTGTGATTTTTTTAAAGTATCAGAAGCTATTAGACAAAAAATTAAGATGAAGATATGAACAACAAATAGTAATATACATTTAAATACACACCAGATCTTTCCTAAATTTACTACATGCTAGGCCACAAAACAAATCTCAGCAAATACCAAAGTACTGATGTCATATAGATACCATTCTCTGTTAACACTGCAATAAATTTAAAAATCAACAATAAAATCATAGTCAGAAACTATGTTATGTTTGGAAACTAAAAAGAGCATTTCTGATTGATTCATTTGGAAAGAAATCAGAGTGGAGGAAACTTGTTCCAACAACATGGCAGACTAGACCCTCCTATAAACAGAGGAGGCTGGATAAAATGTATAATACACATTTTTAGACACCAACAACCAAGGGAAAACAGAAACTCCAAGAGGGCATTTGCTAAACCCAGGCTTCTTGAATTTCTATTTATGGCATGGAAGGGCATAGGGGACAAAAAGGGCCCAGGCCCTGCCTGAGATTGGGGCTCTAATAGGAGACCCTCTGGTAGGTATACACTCTCAAAGTAAGAGAGAACTAGAAATAAATCCTAGTCATGGTGAATCATCAGTGAGTTGTGAAATTTATCAGTTGCTCACCATCAGCAATCTATTTTTGAATATGAATGTAGTGATGCTTCCAATGGCACTTGCAGACTAAGACAGACTAGGAAGAAGGACCTGGCAGCCTACTTCAAAAAAATTGGCCAGTGAAAACCTTATGAATAGCAGTGGAACATTGTCTGGTATAGTGCCGGAAGTATGAGCCCCTCAAATTGGAAGACACTCAAAATACAACTGGGGAAGAGCTGCCTCCTCAAAGTACAGTTGACCTTAATGACATGCATGGAGTAAAGCTTTTGGTACCTTCCTTTGCTGATGTGGCATGACTCAAAATGAGAAGAAACAGCTGCAAACATCCATTAATAATCAGAATGTGGAACGTACAAAGTATGAATTGAGGAAAATTGAAAGTCGTCAAAAATGAAATGGAATGCATAAAGATCGATATCTTAGGCATTAGTGAGCTGAAATGGACTGGTACTGAACATTTTCAGTCAGATAATCATATGGTCTACTATGCTGGGAATGACAAGTTGAAGAGGAATGGCGTTGCATTCATCATCAAAAAGAACATTTCAAGTTCTATCCTGAAGTACAGAGTGCAATGCTGTCAGTGATAGGATAATATCCATACGCCTACAAGGAAGACCAGTTAATACAACTATTATTCAAATTTATGTACCAATCACTAATGCCAAAGATGAGGAAATTGAAGATTTTTACCAACTTTGGCAGTCTGAAATTGATCTAACGTGCAATCAGGATGCATTGATAATTACTGGTGATTGGAATGCAAAAGTTGGAAACGAAGAAGAAGGATCGGTAATTGGAAAATATGGCCTTGGTGAATAAAACAATGCCAGAGAAGGCATGACAGAATTTTGCAAGGCCAATGACTTCTTCATTGCAAATACCTTTTTCAACAACATAAACGACGTCTATACTTGTAGACCTCGCCAGATGGAATACACAGGAATCAAACTGACTATGTCTGTGGAAAGAGATGATGGAGAAGCTCAATATCATCAGTCAAAGCAAGGCCAGGAGTTGATTGCGGAACAGACCATCAATTGCTCATATGCAAGTTCAAGTTGAAGCTGAAGAAAATTAGAGCAAGTCCACCAGAATCAGAAAACAACCTAGAGTATATCCCACCTGAATTTAGAGACCATCTCAAGAGGAGATTTCACATATTGAACACTAATGACTGAAGACCAGATGAGTTGTGGAATGATATCAAGGACATCATACATGAAGAAAGAAAAATGTCATTAAAAAGACAGGTAAGAAAGAAAAGACCAAAAAGGGTGTTAGAAGAGACACTGAAACTTGCTCTTGAACGTAGAGTAGGTAAAGCTAAAGGAAGAAATGATGCAGTAAAAGAGCCGAACAGAAGATTTCAAAGGTCAGCTTGAGAAGATAAAGTATTATGATGACGTGCAAAGACCTGGAGTTAGAAAACCAAAAGGGAAGAACACGCTCAGCATTTCTCAACTGAAAGAACTGAAGAAAAAATTCAAGCCTCAAGTTGCAATATTGAAAGATTCTATGGGGAAAATATTGAATGGCGTAGAAAGCATCAAAAGAAGGTGGAAGGAATACACAATCACTGTACCAAAAAGAATTGGTCGACGTTCAGCCGTTTCAGGAGGTAACATATGATCAAGAACCGATGGTACTGAAGGAAGAAGTCCAAGCTACACTGAAGGGAATGGTGAGAAATAAGGCTACAGGAATTGATGGAATACCAATTGAGATGTTTTCAACAAACGCATGCAGCGCTGGAGGTGCTTACTTGTCTATGCCAACAAATCTGGTGGACAGCAGCCTGGCCAACCAACTGAAAGAGATCCATATTCGTGCCCATTCCAAAGAAAAATGATGCAATAGAATGCGGAAATTATCCAACAATATTAACATCACACACAAGTAAGATTTTGCTGAAGATCATTCAAAAGTGGTTGCAGCAGTACATTGAAAGGGAACTGCCAGAAGTTCAAGCCGGATTCAGAAGAGGATATGGAACAAGGATGTCATTGCTGATGTCAGATGGATTTTGGCTGAAAGCAGAGAATACAAGAAAGATGTTTACCTGTGTTTTATTGACTACGCAAAGACATTCGACTATGTGGATTCAAACAAATTATGGAGAATATTGTGAAGAATGAGAATTCCAGAACACTTAATTGTGCTTATGCAGAACCTGTACATAGACAAAGAGGCAGTCATTCAAACAGAACAAGAGGATACTGTGTGGTTTAAAATCAGGAAAGGTGTGCATCAGGGTTGTATCCTTTCACCACACTTACTCAATCTGTATGCTGGCAAATAGTTGGAGAAGCTGGACCGTATGAAGAATGCAGCATCAGGATTGGAGGAAGACTCATTAACAACCTGTGATACACAGATGACACAACCTTGCTTGCTGAAAATGAAGAGGACTTGAAGCACTTACTGATGAAGATCAAAGACTACAGCCTTCAGTATGGATTGCACCTGAACATAAAGAAAACAGAAATCCTCACAACTAGACCAATAAGCAACATCATGATAAACGGAGAAAAGATTGAAGTTGTCAAGGATTTTATTTTACTGGGATCCACAATCAATGCCATGGAAGCAGTAGTCAAGAAATGAAATGAAATGAAATGCCATATTGCATTGGGTAAATCAGCTGCAAAAGATTTCTTTAAAGTATTGAAAAGCAAAGATGTCACCTTGTGGACTAAGGTGCACCTGACCCAAGTCATGGTGTTTTTAATCACCTCGTATGCTTGCGAAAGCTGGACAAATTAACAAGGAAGACCGAAGAAGAATTGATGCCTTTGAATTAATGGTATTGGCAAAGAATATTGAGTACACACCATTGACTGCCAGAAAAATGAACAAATCTGTCTTGGAAGAAGTACAGCCAGAATGCTCTTTAGAAGCAAAGATCGCAAGACTTCGTCTCATGTACATTGGACATGTTATCAGGAGGGACCAGTCCCTGGATAAGAACATCATGCTTGGTAAAGTACAGGGTCAGCGAAAAAGAGGAAGATCCTCAACAAGATGGATTGACACAGTGGTTGCAACAGTGGGCTCAGGCATAACAACGATTGTAAGGATGACGTAGGACCAGGCATTGTTTCGTTCTGTTGTACACAGCGTCACTATGAGTCAGAACCAACTTGGCGGCACCTAACAACAACAATGCTTCATGTAACTTTTGTATTTTTTGTGTCATTGTGTGTTTATATATGTGTATAAATATTCATTTTAGCATTGTTTACAGTAGGAAAATATTGGAAGGAACCTAAGTTTCTATCAGTGGAAAGGATAAATAAATGAGATGATTTTCTTATAAAGAAACATTATTGTCAGAGAAAATGAGAAAACTACATCTGTTTAAGTTAACGTAGATAAATTACAAAATATAATATTGAGTGACAGAAACAAGTTGCAGGATGATAGGTAAGTATAATTAATTTTATGTTAAGCATATGTATATAATATGTTGCTTGAGCAGGATAGACACCAACTTCAGTATAGTTACCTCTGAGGACAGAAAGAATAGAATGGGATTGGGGCAGGGTTCCAAATGGCAGTGCAAGCTCTCCAATGTTTGTGTGTGTGTGTGTGTGCATGCCCTTCTCTTAAAAAAATTGAAATGTTAACATCTGGGTGATAAATATTTGGGTATTGGTTATATTATTTCCTGAACTTTTCTTTTTTTTTTTTTTAATTCTGTCATGCAGTAGATAACTTGTGTTCTTATCAGGAGACTCTTTAGTGGGTGAATAATGTCAGAATTAAATTTTTAGGTGTTCCTTAGAAGAGCACATTCAGTTATATTTATGCTTGTATGTAATTATAGCAATTTTAATTAGATGAAAGCTGTGTAATTGCATGAGTACAGTAGTAAAGCTGAGAAGGAAAAGGTACAGGAAAGGAATAAAATATAAAATGAAAAATATTAGTATATATCTTTTAGTACATAGAAAGAAAACATGCAGTAATTCCATAACCTGAAATCCATAAAAAGTGTCCCAAAAAATTCTTATTGAATTAGAAGTTCTGATAAGGAAAGGAAAAAGTTCTCTGAGTGTTACCTTCAGAGAAACTTAGAAAAATAACCAAACTACCATCCCCTGAAAAAAAGTTAAAACTAAATATTACATTATTAAAATTGTAACTTGTCGCTTACCAGGAGGCAACTCTAATTGCTAATAAAAAAATATGAATCTATAGTTTCATCATTCACATTTTTTTGCTTTACTTAGCTGGCCATCTGACATTTGAATGCCGCAATTTTCTCCGAGTGGACCCCAAAAGGGACATAGTTTTGGATGTCAGCAGCACAAGCAGTGAAGATAGTGATGAAGAGAATGAAGAACTGAATAAATTACAGGCATTACAAGAAAAAAGTAAGCAATACTTTCTCCCCATCCTTTAAAAATGTTTCTAAATATTTTATTATAATGCATCATATTTATCTATTGTATTTATCATTAATATATCTTTTGTTTTTATTCAAGAGCTACATAGCTAAGGAATTAGGCTTTGAAAGTTTTAAGTAATTTGTCCAAGATCAGCTCAATCGATGGTAGAGCCAGATTACAAGCCTATTTCTGAGTCCACAGTCCATGTTTGTTTTGTTTTTTTCTCCAGTAGCACTTGTGTGTGTCACAGGGTGCAAAGAGTCTGAGTTAACACTTGATTTCTAGCCGTATGTAGCCATTTTTTCACATGTGACTTTCGGCAAGTCACTGAAACACTCAGAACCTCAGTGTTCTTGTGGACAAGGATCAGATTGTCAAATTACGGGCCTACAAATCAGAGATCTTACCCAGTATCGAACCTTAAATTTCAAGGATATAAATACAAAGCAGCAAAAGTTCCCCCAGTATAGTTCCTCAGGTACTTTCTTTATGAATCAGAACCCCCTCTGGCCAATATTAATGTAAAAGGTTTCTGTATTACAAACACAAGAGCATCGATTTGGTCATGAAACATCTCCGTTTTATGTCCAGATAGTTATATTTTCCAGGGAGCCCTATTTTTTTTTTAAATAAATGCATAAAATTTTAGAATTAGAAGGGATCCTAGAGAACACCTAAATTTTTTTATATGAGCTATAATTTTTAAAAATTTGTTTTATTGTACTTTCGGTGAAGGTTTACAGAGCAAACCAGTTTCTCATTAAACAATTAATACACATATTGTTTTGTGACGTTGGTTGCCAACCCCGCAACAGACATGTCAACACTTTCCACTTCTCGACCTTGGGTTTCCTAGTTTTATAGTAAAAGAAAGTGAAGACTGGTGACTTCCTCAAAGTCACTAACTAGTCTGACAGAAAAGCCAGCGCTGTGATCCAGGTTTCTTGCCTACTGGTCCAACATACTGTTTTCATTACAACATGCTGCCCTTCTACTTTAGAGATCATCCAATCTGTTGGTTCATGAGCTTTTCTTTTTTTTTCACCATATCAATCTTGAAGTTTCATAAAACATACTCCAGTCATTAATAGTGGATTATTCTAGAGATGATTTTCAGTCAGAAGGCCAGGGATGAATCTCCCTGGGAGGACGTGGAAGGAGTTGACATATCATAATCTCTGGTTTGAGAGAGAGTTTATGAATCTTCTCTGTTAGAATCAGCTTTCTCCTGACCCCACATTGAGAATCACTGACTCAACCTACCCCCCCCACCTTTTTTTCTCTTAAAAGGTATACGTGCTCATTTTGCTGAGTGATATAAGTCAATCACAAAAAGACAAATATTGCATGATCCCACATTTATAAAAAGATAAAAATACATATACATACAGAAACCAATGCTCATTTGTGGTTCCCAGGGAGGGGTGGCTGGGGAGAAGGGAGATAACTCTTTAGATAGTAGATATTTGTTATTTTTGGTGATGGAAAGGGTAACACTGAATGTGGGTGAAGTGCACACAGCTTGACCAAGGTAAATGATGTTGCTAAGAAGTGCGCACACACACAAAGGGCATTTTAGTAAATGCTAGAAAATGTATGATTTTGTAACAATAACCAAAAACTGTATGTGTGGTTACCTAGGTATGTATATATGTGTGCGTATATACATGTATCCATATGTACATGCATATATGTATGTGTGTGCATGCATGTATGGTCATATATATATAATAAAGTACATAGGAGGCACAGTTACAGATACTTCTTAGACATAACCAAACACCTTGCAGGACTGGATTTCTGGGTTTGAAGCCTTAGGACCATAGTCTTGTGGGACAACTCAGTCAGTTGGCACAATGTAGTTCACAAAGTTTATGTTGTACATCCTAGTTTGGTGAGTAGTGTCTCAGGTCTTAAAAGCTTGTGAGTGGCCGTCTAAGATACAACCTTTGATCTCATCTCATCTGGAGCAAAAGAGAAAGAAGGAAACCAAGGACTCAAAGAAGAAACTAGTCTACAGGACTAACAGTCTACACGAACCATGGCCTCATCTATCCTGACACCAGAAGAACTAGATGGTGCCCTGCTACCACTAATGACCTTTCTGATCAGAGTCAGATGGATCCTAATAAAATAAGAGAAAAATGTGAACCAGAACTCAAATTCTTAAAATGTCCAGACTTACTGGACTGGTTGAGACTGGAGGACTCCCCAAGACGATCACCCTGAGATACTCCATAAACCTTGAACCAAAACTACCCCCTTTTAGCTAAAGAACAGATTGGCTAATGCAATAAAGAATATTGCCAGAAGAATTCACTATTTACAAAGGATCCCAGGAATTCAGGAGTTTAGTTTTCCTTCCATTCTTTTTTGTGGTATTCAATATTAATTAGCGCTTTGCCTGTAATTAGGAGATAGTCCTCTCCTTATTTCTCATCTCCTAAAGATTTGTGTTATTCTCTTGGCTCAGTCCAGAAAAGAAATATTATATTTTGACAAATTTGGGGGTGTTTGGCTTAGTTTGTTTTTTGTGTTTTTGTGAGAAGATTCCCAAATAAGGTAATTGCATATTGCCATAATCGTCTCTCTCCTTCCCTTTAGTCACTGCTGGAATTAAATTCAAATGAATAATTTACAGTGGTGGTTTCAAGCTTCATAAAGATAGGGCTTAACTGAATCTGCAGGGTAGTTGGAATAAAGTAAAGCCTATAATTGACTCAAAATGTATTTTTTTTATAAGACAGCTGCAAAAGATATTTGCTAAGTGGTTGATTGGAAGACACAAGAGGGAATGGAAAATCTAGATTAATGGGTCTAGGCTTGGAACTGCCTAGTCACAGAATAAAAAGCAGCTGCTGTGGCTGCAAACCTGGTGACAGGTATGCAAACAAAGATCTAGTGGCTGAGCACTATCCCAAAGCCATCTCTGGCACTGGATCATAACCTCTGACTGCCTGTATATCACACAAGGGACAGCCACACTGTTGATGATCATTACAAAGTTAAATATCAAAGTACATAAGGCCTTCTTGTCTTTTATTTTGTACTCCAAGGGTTGGTTGTAGTATTTTCCAGGATCTTTTTATGCTGCAGAAAAGTCAAACTCTTTTTCTCTGCTATGCTTGTGTGTGCACTGTGTATCTCTAAGTCCTGACTCAGAAAGAACCTCGATAAGTAGAAGTGGAATTGTTTTAGGAGCTCTTGGTAGTATAGAAACACCAAACATCTAAAATAAACTTTTGTCTTCAGTGCTTGAATTCTGGTATCTTATTATTGTCAGTTCTGCAAGTTCTTCATAAGGGTAGAAGACTAGGGGGGAAAAAAGATTTCTTGAACTCTTTAGACTTAAATTCTAGGTTGTTTTTTTTTATTAGAATTAATTCCTCTGTACAGTTTAATCAGTGGATTCCTTACCCATCACCCCTGAGTAGAAGAGAAATTATTCCCATAGCTACCATTTTTGTTATTGGTTTTTCATTTGATTCCATTGTATTTGTATGATTTCATTTCTTTTAAATTTGTTGAGATTTGTTTTATGACTCAGAATATGATCTGTCTTGGTGTATATTCTGTGGACGCTTGAAAACAATGTATATTCTGCTCTTGTTGGGTGGAGTGTTTTATAAGTGTTGATTAGATTCTGTTGGTTGATGTTCTTCTATATCCTTGCTGACTTTTTGTCTAGTTTTATCAATTGTTGAAAGAGGGATGTTGAAGTCTTCCACAGTAATTGTAGATTTGTCTGTTTCTCCTTTCAGATCTCTCAGTTTTGCTTCACTTTGCAGCTCTATTGTTTGGTGCATACACATTTAGGATTGTTATGTTTTATTGGTGGATTGACTCTTTTATCATTATATAATGTTTCTCTCTGTCTCCAGTAATTTTCTTTTTCTGAAGTCTATTTCATTTGATATTAGTATAACTAGACCTGATTTCCTCTGATTGTATGATGTAATATATCTATTTCCATCCTTTTACTTTCAAAATGTCTCTAGTATTATATTTGAAGTAGTGTCTCGTAGACAGTATAAAGTTGGGTTATATTTTTTATTCACCCTGCCAATCTGTTTTTTAATTGGTATATTTAGACCATTTCCGTTTAATGGAGTCAGTTGATACTATCTGAAACGTGATACTATTTGAAACATGATGTTAAAGACCCAATCTCTTAATTTTTTATAATATTTTTTCTTAACTTTAGAGTCCTCTTTTGGGAAATAATTTTTCTTGTGGAAAAGCAGTTTCTTTAGTTTTATTTTCTTCTATTAAGTTCAAGTAAAATTAAATGTAATACTTGTTATTGAAATCTGTGTAAATAAGTTCTGTCATCCAGAAATACTTCTTATGTATGCAGAGGTGTATATACAAGGATTTCCATTGCTTATTGTTTCTAAATTTTTTACAGGAGTAAATGAAGAAGAGGAGAAGAAGACAACAAAAAGCAAAGAAAAAATCAAATTGAAAAAAAAAAGGAAAAGGTATTTTTTCAACATCTTTTTTTAAAAAAAAAAACAAGGTTGTGAGTACAGAATGGATTATTACATTTTACTTTTTATGTATATTTCAGTTAATTTGATATTAATTTTTTCTTAATGGGAGTTAGCTGTTTAATGTTTTGGTTAAATAGCAAACTTCTTGGTGTCAGGAATAAAAAATAAAGTCAACACACTCAGCCACCTAAAATCTTCTTTTTGGAATGAATCAAGGTATAAATAAATAACAGCCCTTCTTCTTTGATTATTTGTACTCTAGAATTTTAAGTCTAAGAATATCAGCCAAACCTTTAGTTGTGTATACATTTAAATTCTTCACATATCTATTTTTTTCTTCATATATGTGAAGCTGGAACTTAAATAATTTGTATTCTCAAAATATCACTGTCATGACTAAGAAATTAATTTATTTGCAGAATTTATGTTCTTACTTGTAATGCTGAAAATTCCTTCAGGTCTTTCAAAACCCTCATCAGCCACATGTATATTTTTACTCTTTCTTGACAACTAACTATTTGGTTAAAGAAATTGATCAAAAGAATTAAGAGGCAGTATGGATGGAACTTGAAGACATTATACTAAGCGAAATAAGCCAATCACAAAAGGACATTGTATGATTTCACTTCTATAAAAAGACAAGAAAAGGCAAATGTGTGGAGACCAAAGTTTATTAGTGGTTACCAGGGGTGAGGGGAGGGGGGAAGGGGAGTTAACAGTGATGGAAAAATCACATTGATTAAGGGTAGGGTTGCTCAGCCAGTTATTGTAATTGCTGTCAATAAATTGTACACCTATAAAAACGTTGAATTGGCAGAAGTTGTGTGATACTTACAACAACAACAAAAAAGACTAGCTACTGAGGCTACTTATGTGCAACCAAACACCTCATGGGATTTAGTTCCTTGGTTTGGAGGTTTAGGGTCATGGTTTCGTAGGACATCCCAGTTGGCCTAATAACGTGTTTAGTGCTTCCGTTCTACCTCCTAGTTCATTGCATAGTGCCTGGGGTTTTAAAAGCTTGCAAGTAGCCATCCAAGGCACAACAGTTGGTCTCTGTTCACCTGGAGCAGCACAGAAAGAAGAAGAGTCAGGAATAGAAGGAGAATATGGAACGTGTGGCTCATTGCCTCCATGAACAACTGCCTCCTTTGCCATGCGACCAAAAGAACTAGATGGTGCCTGGCTACCATTACTGACCATTTTGATCAAAGATTCCACAGAGGAATCCTGATGAAAAGGGGGAAAATGCAGAACAGAATTGAAAATTCTTATGGACTCTAGACTTTCTGGAGCCATGAAGGTTGGATGAACCCCTGAAACTATTGCCCTGAGATAATCTTTAAACCTTAAACCAAAAATACCCCTGAAGTCATCTTAAAACCGAATAATAGTTTAGCTTAACTACTGTATTTTTGCAAATAATGTGCGCCTTCTATGTTTGTTTACCAACCGCTCCCTCCCCTCGTGAGGTTTTTTCATAAGCGTGCCATGCTTTTTTTTTTTTTTTTTTAATAGCAACATGTAAAAACAATTGGTATGGCGGCACTTACGAAAATACCTCACAGAGGGAGGGAGCGATTGGCAAACAAATGTAGAAGGCATGTGTGATTTGTGTAAAAATACGGTCGTGAAAAAGGTCTACCTTGAGCATTATGCTCTTTTAAGAACTATCTATATGGGATCAAATTTACAACAGCAACTGAAAAGATTAGATAGCAACCTTAGGGGACAGTGATTTTATGTTAATGAGGGAGGAACAAATCAGAAAAGAAGGGTGCGAATGGTTGCACAACTCTAAGAATGTTATCAATGTCACTAAATCATACATGTAGAAACTGTTGAATTAGTGTAGGTTTTGCTGTGTATATTCTTAATAACAACAACAAAATAAATAAAATTTAGAAAAAAAGAATTAAGAGGCAACTTCTTCCTTGGTTATTGAATATAGTTCAGTTCATACTAGAATAAACATATACAAATAGACTTTTTTTTAAGGCAATGGGCCATAAATGTGTCTGGTTTGGACTCTGTTCTCTCACAGTTAACAGTGGGTTCTATAAATCAGGTGTTGTTACTTTGTAGTTTCTATAGAGCATTTACTACATATATTTTAACACTGCAGATATTTTATAAACTGTAAAAGCTCTGTTTCAAGTGATAATAAATTTACGTTAATAACCTTTAACACAAAAACTAATTGGAAGCTAGAGCCAGTATTCCTGACCAGTGTATTTTTGAATCATTCTGCACTAATGCAGCGAGGTGGATTGCTTCCAGGAAAAATGAGATTATGTGTTTTCTTCCAAATCCTAATATGTTTTATTGTAACAGATAATTTTTTCAGGTCTTTCTACCTTGGGTCTCAGAAAACTCAGACAGGGGTTGAAATTAAATTAACTTTTCTAGGCACAAACTTAGCAGAGATAATGCCACTTAATGGTGTTGCTGTGCCAACACCTAATGTTTTCCTTAAAAATGAGAACCCAGAACCAGCAAAAGTACAGACAGAGAAGAGGCACTAGTCAGATGATTCCAGAGGTCAAGTCAAGCAGAAAAGCAGATAACATCTGAGAATAACAGAGCTGAAGAGTGAGCAAGAAGATGCATGAGAAAATAAGCTCAGCAGAAGGCCAGAGGTCTAAGGAAGTAGTTAAAGAGGAGAAAGACAACATTACAGAAATAAGAGAAAACATAGTCACTACATGAGGAGGGCAGTCTAGGGATTTACACAAGTCACTACAAAGGCAAAGATAGCCTTGGGGCATTGTAGTCTAATGCATTTTTCTCCTGCTTTATGTCTCTGTCAAGTTTTCTCAGTTTGGGTTTTAACTTCTAATGTTTAGATCATTGAGCTCTTGAGATGCCTTTCTTATTTTTAATTTTAACTTCTAATGTTTAGATCATTGAGCTCTTGAGATGCCTTTCTTATTTTTAATTAATTTCTATCTTGTCACAAATATTTGGGGTCTGGGTGTAAGTAGAATGCCACCCACTTCTTTATATAAGATTTTAAAGAGTGGCTTTTTCTGGGTTTTTTGTATGTGTTATTTTTTTTTTAATATTAGAGAAAGAAATTCTACATTTTATTCCAATTTAGTATCAGAATAGTATGAGAAAAATAAAGAAAAATGATAAATCATCCTTGTTTATATAGAGAGAATATTCATTTAAAAGTATCCTTTCTGTAATTAATGAACAGTATTATGGAATAAAATGTACATGTCTATTATTCTGCATCTAGAGGGGTCAACTATTTTAACTTGAAAAATCAAGAGAATCAACAAACGTGCTTTTGTTTTGCTAATTTTTAGCTTTCATTTATGCCAAGGTACAATTATAGCCTCTTTTACATAATTGCATCCTTTTGTGGTTCTTTTAAAAGAATATGCTAACAAGCTATTGTATACACAAGTGTACTGGATATATAATGAGGCTTGATAAATGCCACTTTGTTTGCCTTAAAAGACTGGAGGATAGGTATAGCATGAAAAAATCAAAATCATGGGAAAAATCATTTCATTCTTATAAATTCAAAACTTATTACTAGAATTCAGCAGCATAGAGACATTTGTTGTGTCAGTGCCTGTGAGCAAGTAGTACAGATTCTGAATTCAGCATTTTAAGAGAATACAAATATATGAAGCACATTTTATTTGAATCTGTTTATGTTTATTACACCCACCTTGTTCCAGGAAGAATTTAAAGCAGTTTAAATTCCATTTAAATTTACCTCAGTCATAAATGCAAGTATCAGTCAATATGTATTATTGCCCATAGGTCTTACTCATCTACTTCCACTGAAGAGGACACTTCAAAAGAAAAGAAACAAAAATATCAGAAGAAAGAAAAGAATAAAGAAAAAAAGAGCAAGTCAAAAAAGGGAAAACATCACAAAAAGGAAAAAAAGAAGAGAAAAAAGGAAAAGCACTCTTCTACCTCTAAGAGTTCTGAAATCTCTAAGAAGTAACTGAGACTTTGGCCTAAGCCATTAAATTTTAAAATTTGTTTTTAAAAACTATTTGATCTTGGGATTTGCTATATAATCATTCTTTGCAATAAATCTTTCCATATAGACTTTTTTTTATATATATAAGACCATTATCCCTCTAACAAAATATTTTTTAATGTGTTCTGACTATAAAGTTTTGAATCAGTCTTGCCACTTGATAGTCATGCCACAAGTATGGATATTGGTACATATAAAACACATCACTTTTGGTATTTGTGTGTGTGTTTGGCTAGTGTTATTATATCACAAGTTGATTGCAAAATGGCTTTACCACAGTCAACACAGATAATTTACCTAGCTAATAATGAGTATTGCTGAATCAAGTGTCCACATTCCAGTGACATTGAAATTTTTAATAGCTTTATATATACTATGATATAATGTATAATAATAGTGAAATTTTTAACTGTTGTTTTTAATCTGTAGGCTTTTTTCAATGCCATAGGACATCAAACTGCTTTATTGGTCTTGACTAGGACTTTTTAAATGAATGGTGTCTGCAGGAAGATGATAAATGAAAATGTTTATAACAGAGCTTCACTTTTCTATGAAATGCAGAGTTTCTAGTACCTGCCTGCTTTGTTTTTGTAACAATTAAAATATCTCTTTCCTGTTTAAAAAGACAAGTCTACTTCAGCCTATTAGTAAGTCTCATGGAGATGATACTGTGTTGGTCAGGATTTTTAGGATAGACTACTGAGTTGTTTTGCAAATTATGTCACGTTGGCATGTGTTAAAGTGATACCTCAAACACAGAAATTTTTATTTAGGACAGCAAAATCTTCATTAGAACTGATTTTTATTGTATTCAGTATGTAAATTTATGAAACTTGTTTCTGTGAGTAATACGGAAAATTTTTATAAGTGTCAACATATATATTTATTTTGTCTGAAATAATTTGTATATAGTTTTGAAGCAGGCTTCACACTAGATTTATGGTTTCATAAATAGTGAGTTTGAGGTGTTCATGGGCTTTTACTTTAGACACAAACCTCAGGAGCAGTGACAAAAATTTAGAATTAAGAGTTTTATTTTTTGCTTTTTAAAATTTAAGAGCCAGGGAGTTGCAGTATGAAAGCTTTTAGATAACAATGGAAATTTTATATGGGTAAGCATTTTCAAACACATATTAGTAGATTTAAATGTTTCTTAGATTTTTAATTTGACAATAATTAGTGTTACTTATTTCGCTTAATGCTTAGTTATCCCTTATGCCCAATAAGTGAAATACTTACTATTTTGTAGCAGCATTGAATGTCAACCCAGTATCATGACACAGCACCAAAGATGCGAGAACCTCAGGGTGGTGCAGTTATAACTTTTCAAATTGGTAACCCACAAACATGGCTGCAGGTGAATTCATATGGTAAGATTGGCTAAGTGCATTTAACTTCACGGGCTGAAAAGGTTTATTGATTCTTCGGTCACCCTGCTCCCTAATTAACATGTCCCCAATAAGACTCAGGGAGCCCTGTTAACTCCTCTTATATGCTTACCTAGAACCCATGCTCAAATTCTAGTGAAGCTGCACCCACCTCCATATTCTAGCATTATAGCCATGGAAGCTCTCCCAGCCTAGCTTTTCCATAACCCAGTTTCATAATATGGCCACCTAAAAAAGAAGTTCTTTTTTCTTTAATAGTTCAGTCTGTTGTTTGCAGAGAAACACAGATTTTTGAGGATTTGTTTTGCCTTTGTTACTGTTTTATGAAAATACAGTAACCCTTATTTCTTTGGTTATCAAGATGAAAAATATGAGTAAAAGGGGGGGAAGCCTTGTTAAAAAAAAGATTGAAAGATGATACATGCCAAAGGATGACCTCATCCCATTGAGTGTGTAACATGATTTAAAATGATAGTAATTGCAGTGAAACAGTTAATCCAGTTATATATAACTTAATTTTGTTAATTGTAGAGATTATAAATTCACTCATTAGATTTGTTTTCTGAATGGTGACACGATTAATGATTGCGAAGAATTAGGTAAAATTCAACCCTCGTTAACTAATATAGTATGCAAATTATAGATTTTTATACTCAGTAAGTTTTCCCCTAGAAGCAATCATGAAATTATTCTTAAGTGAATTCTCCATAGTCTTAGCATAGTTTATGAAATATCTTGACTGAATAAAAATCATTTATTTTTTACTAAAATAATTTTCTTGTATATGATCATGTTACTGTTATTGGGACTGGATGCAAATCTCACTGGTATATTTAGGAGAAAATTAATGAAATTTCCTCTCAAGCAGTATGTAGCAGAAGGAAAACTGGTTTTAATAGTAACAGTCCGATAGATCTGGCTCTTCTAACTACCTACATGACCTTCAACAACGTCATTTAGTTTCTCTGGGCTTTGGTATCTTTCATCTATAAAATGTTGTACCACATGATCTCTGAGTTCCCTTCCAGTCCGTAATGTATATGATTATTAATACTTTAGGAAAATTCAGGTAACATTCATTTTAGAAATTATTGTAGATAAGCAGCTTGCATTATGTAGTGGTAAAGATTGAATACAATTGCTAAATATTGAAGTTACTCTCTCTTTAAGCAGATAATTTTTGATTCACATTCTTACCACCCCAGTGTGTGTCATTTTAACCAGATGCAGATCAAATTTATATTTAGATTTGTGTCTATGTTCTGATTATCTGAAAACTTTGAGGCTATTGCTTTTGAAGCTTTGAGCTAAAACTTTGGGCTGATGGACTACTAAAGATTTAATGTATGTCCTCTTCACCGGATGCAGACATAATTTACATCTAAATTTGCATTTGTAACCAGATTATTTTGAACACTTTGAGACCATTGCTTTGGGCTGATGGACCTACTCTCCCTGTAGATCCCCCTTTTGTTTCTTCATATAATCTGTTAGCTAAAATCTTTCAGAGTTATCTCCAGTGCTTCACCCTTAGTGTATCTTTTGTTCTCTGAAGTCAAAATGTCAGTAAATGAGGAGTAAAACAACTGTGTGTAACCTAGATCACCTTCAGTGGTAGAGTAGGCTGATGTGTCATTAATGGCATTGATAACAATCATTGAGTCCTTTCTTTAGCAAACATTTATTGAGTACCTGGCATTGCAAACACTATGCTAAGCACTAGGGTGACAGAGGTAAATAAGTCACATTTGCTTCCCTGAAGGAGTTCACAGTTTAGTTGGTAAGAGAAACACAAGACCACATCATTATATAATAAGTGCTAAAATTGATCTGAATGTAGACTTATAGAAACACAGAGCGCTACTTAACCTAGTCTGGAGAAATTAGAAGAGGCTACCTAGAGAAAGTAATGCCTGAATTACATTTGGATTGAGGGTAAGGATGGGAGTTATGAAAGCTCCTGGCAGAGTGGGTACTGTGGACACACCACAAATATAAGAAATTGAATAGTGTATGTGGCAAGAATTACAAGCATTTTAAAAGGTGAAATTGCTCTCATTAGGACACATAGGAAATAATTTCCTTCTTTTACATTATTTGTACTCTTCTTCTAGACCTATTCTTTGTGACTCTGATTGTTGCTACCAAAAATTAGTGACTTAAGCCTCCTAAAAACACATAAAGAAAGGTACTATATTCTTCATCAGACACATCTCCAGAATTATATGTATATACTTTGAAATGTGTTTTGCTTTGTTTTGAATTTTAGATTATTTTTGACTGGCTTGAAATAAATTCTGTCTCTGTTAGTATTCATTAGATCTAAATAAATCATTTAAAATACATTTTTTCATTGTACGTAGTGTGCTATAATTTCATCGGGCTTCTTTTTTTTTAATATTTTGTCTCAATCTATGAAGCACAACTGGTTCAAAGTTAGACACATACCACGTGGTCCACTGGGTAACCCTCAGGTAACTTTGCAATAAGCTGGCTCAGCAGGGAGCACCTCAAGGACCCATTTACAGTAGTGCTGATATTTAAACTTCCTGGGCAGCTGGCATGCAAGGACACAAGGTTTCTTAAGCCAGCAAGTTGATAACCCCAACTGAGAAGCCCAGGGTCTTCTGACCTTAATTATATCATCCCATCTTCTCTAAAAATATGCAGAGTAGCTGAGAATTGGGGTTCCTCCTAGAGCACAGCCCATGATACCTCCAGCCATGCCTGGCCCAGTCTGCCTCTCCTGCAGAATGGCTGGAGTCTGGGGACCATGAGCGTTCTACTGGCCCTCAGTCTCTTTAAGTTTCCTGCTCCTTGTGTCATTTTGTGTCATCTACCCATGCCCTTGAACAACAAAAGTAAAATTGTTCCAGTGCCTTAATTAAACGTTCTCAACCTGGATTTTCATCTGAGGCAACATCATTAGTAATGTAATTATTAATGTCAGTCTATCAAGATAGCCAATTTTAGTGGATTTTGTTTTAATCAAAGCTGGATAAAAGAAAGATCAATAAGTACACACAAAAGCTTTATGAGCTTTCACAAAAAATAATGGAACTCCTTTTTTTGACCATGTATAATGTCGTTTTTATAATGGAAATGCTTTAACTTTGAAACTTCATATACATTGTAAGTAAGCAGTTCTACTAATTTAAAAGTGACAAAGTTATCAAAGTGTTCTTTTTGAATGTGAAATCCCACTTAGGCAGTAGAATGTTGCAATAATGATGTGGAACCGTGCTGTCGTTGCAGCCGCATGTGGTTATTTAAATTATGTAAAATTAAAACATCATTTCCTCGGTTGCACTAGCGACGTTTCAAGTGCCCAGTAACCACATGGTGGCTATCCTACTGGAGAGCACAGATACAAAACATTTCCATCATTGCAGAAATTTCTACTGCACCGTACTGACTTAGACAATATTCACAGATCTTTGTAGAAATTTTGACAGCCTAGTGATCAAAATGAGTCTCTGAGTGGTGTAAACAACAGTTAAGCACTCAACTGCTAGCCAAAAGGTTGATGATTCGAACTCATCCAGAGATGCCTCGAAAGACAGGCCTGGGGATCTGCTTCCTAAAGGTCAGAGCCTTGAAAACCCTATAAAGCAGTTCTACTAAGCACACACAGGGTCACCGTGAGTCTGAACTGACTTGACAGCAGCTAACAACAACAGTGATCAAAAGTTTCTAGCACTGAGCTTTCCATGCCCAAGAACATTAAGAAATTCCTTTTTTTATACTAGACCAGAGAAGATGTATTCAGCGTATTTTGAAAGAGTAGTCTTCTAACCACAGAAACTCTTCCATAGCACAGCAGATGTGTTCAGCTGATCTGGCTGTGAAATTAATCCTTTCTGTCTGTTGAATCCCATTATAAAACCAGGTCTATGTTCTTGTAATAGAAATCATACTTACAAATAATCTTTTAAAACAATTAGAATTTGCAAAAATTATCACTATTTCTAGATATCTAGTTAGTGTTACTGTGATAGCATTAGGTGGGACCAGATAACTTGTTTGTTTTGTAAGTTTCATTATAGAGATTCTTTAGGAACTTTATCACTGAAGGATTGGTTTTATGGTTATCCCTTGGAATGCAGAAAATAATGTATAGATTATACATTGCAATATTTTTTGTTACTGAATATTAGCTTTTACAAAGACAATATATAAATTGTGTGCCCAGCAGCAAATCTTCTAAAAAGGCATGGGCTGATTTCCAAGAGACAAGAACATGCCACCTCTAGCTTATGAGACCATTTCCCCTGAGATTTACCTAGACAGTACCACCTCTTATAACTGCCCCTAAGTATCAGAAAAAATTGTCAAATGCTGGTAATGTGACATAAACTTCCATTGTTGCTCACTAAGATAGGTTTCCTTATCTGTTATTGATAACATCCTTAATTTCTCCTAAAGTAATAGCATAATTTCATGAAATGCAGAAACATCTTAATTAGAAAATACAAGTAAACTTAGGCACATGAAAATCTATCAATCAGAAAACCTTGATGGTTAATAAATTGAGTGATTGAAAACGCAGCCGTGTCTCACTTTGTGAGTGGTGAATTTCTGAAAAGTAATATTACACACTATTTGAAATGCATTCTTTATTTTTATTGCTCCATCTCTCTGGTCACCTTTTACAACACAAGATTTTTAGTTAAGAAGCAATGTTGACTTGTGTCATGTCCATTGTTTTTTCTTGAATTATATCATAGCTTCATAGGATGTTTCGATTGTTGACTTTGACACTGCATTTGAATTGAGGGCTTTGGTTTTTCTATTTGACTTGCCTGCAAATACACAAAACAAAATAAATAATTACTTGAAAATATGACAAAATTTTAATTTTAAAAATTCGTGCTAAAAAATAAAAGTTAATTTTTCATAATATTGAAAATATGTCCTGAAAACACTATACGGATGAGGAAGAACTGAGTGATTTAGAAGTTATTTTTGAGCATTTCCTCCTGAAAGTCAAATCAGGGAAATATTCAATAACAGATGTAAAAATGTAGTTTCCATACTTACCTTTCCTACTCCAAGCTTCAAAAGAGGAAACTACACTTTTTATAAGAAGGTAACAATTTCTGGTCACTTAATAATTAAGGTGTGTTTGTCCCTATACATAAACTACACTAAAGCCAATCACAATAATGTGCAACATTATTAAGTCTTTGCTATCACAATAATCAACTTAAATGTGATTTTAAAAAAAAAACACATTTGTGCCACAATCTCCCTCACTTACTCTGTATAAATATGAGACCAGAATCAACAAAGGCTAGAGGAATAAGGATCTTTTCTCACCAGAATTTAGTCTGACAAACCTATACCATGGAAATGGATTATTATTCAACCAATGGTGTTATAAAAGTTGAATAATTATGGAAATAATTTCTCATATTTCATCAATATGTAAAAGTTCTTATATTTAAATAATATATAAAAAGCAATAGAAAAAAAATCACAGATGTTATTGCTAAATAACATATTGCTAAATCCACAGTCCAGTTCACAATCTACATCTTACTTGACTTAGCAGCATCTGACCCAATTCTTTCCTTGACTTCTAGGATGCCACCCTTCCTTGGCTCCCTCCTACCTCACCATTGCTCCTCAGTCTCTCTTGTAGGTTCCTTTTCTTCTCTAACAAGTCATAGGGAGTGCCTCAGGGCTTAGCTCACGGTTCCTATACTGCCTCACTCCCTAAATAGTCTCATCAGTCTCACAGCTTTTAATACCACCTCTATGCTGATGACTCTCAGATATATCTCTAACTCAGACCTCTCCTGAACTCCAGACTCAACTGCCTCATCAGCATTTCCACTTAGATATCTAGTAGACACCTCCAGCTTACATCAAAACTGAAATTCAGATTATTCTCCATAAAAAAAAAAAAAAAAAGTCTACTTCACTTGCAGTCTTTCTCAACTGCTGGCCACTCCATGTCCCCCATTGCTCAGGCCAAAAACCTGAGTCACCATTGATCCCTCTCTTTTCTCTCACACCTCACATCCAATCCGTCAGCTATCCTGTTAACTATACTTTTAAAGGATTCCTGGTGGCACAGTGGTTAAGAGCTATTGCTGCTAACCAAAAGGTTGCCACCATCTGCTCTTTGGAAACCCTATGGGGCAGTTCTACTCTGTCCTATTGGGCAGCTGTGAGTTGGAATCTGACTCAACAGCAACGGGTTTGTTTTATATATATATATACTTCTAAAATACATCCAGAATCAGAACACTTCTGACCATCTCCACTGCTAACATTCTAACTTCTTACCTGAATTAACTGCAATTGCCTCCCAACTGGTCCTGCATCTACCTTTCCTTCCGTATATTCTCTTTTCAGCACAACACTCAAAGTGATCCTTTAAAACATAAGCCAAATCATGTCCTCTGCTCAGAACCCTCCATTTCACCCAAGTGTTTACAATGGCCTACATGATCTCATAGACACCCACACACACCATTATCTCCCTGACTTCCTTTTTCTACTGTTCACTCCAACTTACTTGTTAAAACATTTCAGGCACACTGCAGCCTAGGGCCTTTGCACTGCCTATACACTCTGTCTGGCATGCTCTTCTCCCAGATAATTTTACCATAACTCCCTCATCTCCAAATCATTGCTCAGAAGTCATCTTTTCAATAAGACCTACCCTAAACATCCTATTTAAAACTGCAACCTGCATCCTCCCAAATCTCTTTCGCCCCCCATTTTTCCCCATAGCACTTACTTTCTAACATACCATGTAATTTATCTATTTATTATGTTTATAATAAATTTATTGTCTATCTCGCCAACTAAAATGTAAGCATCACATGCTTAGAACAAATGATGCACATCTAAAATATAAACAGGCCTTACAAATCAATACGTAAAACAACATCTCTTGGTGGCAAAGAAACAGACAGAAATGATACAGATGGCGAGCTAATAAATATGAAAAACTTCAATCTTGCTAGTTAGAAAGACATGTAAATTCAAAGAGACACCATTTTTCAACTCTCAATTAGGCAGAGATGAAAACTTATCTTTCCTGGCCAAGGGTCTAGGGTGAGGGAACTTTCATATATTTTCTGGGAGAAGTGTAAATCGGTACACCTTTTTTTTTTTTTTAAGTCCAAAGTGTTCTTACCCAGTAATTCCACTCAACAGGAAATTTTCAAGGAAATAATCAGAGATGAGATCTAAAATTTGTTTACAAAGATATTCACCGGTTATTTCAATGCCAAAAAAAATGAAGTACTTATATTTCCAATGATAAAGTAATGGCTAAATAATCATGCATGATGTATACCATGCAGCCATTTTTTAAAAAGGTGATTTCCAAGAAATTTTTTTACATGGAAGGTGTTTATAACACAATTCTAAGGATATAAAACTATCAAAATTATGATAATAGTTATGGATGGATTAATACAGTGGCTGCAACAATGGGCTCAAGCATAACAGTGATCGTGAGGATGACGCAGGACCAAGCAATGTTTCGTTCTGTTGTACGTAGGGTCACTATCAGTTGCAACCGACTTGACAGCACCTAACAAGAACAATAACAAAGTTTAAGACTTGCCTTTAAGTGTATTGAAACTGTCTGGCTTTGCCCATGTATAAGTAAATGTATAAACTGCCTTCTAGGACCAGTCAGGACATACACACACCCTACCCCTCTATGGGTTGATTTCATAGTTGAACACTCAAAGGGCAATGTTATGTCCAAATTTTGGAGGATGTCTCACTGCAGCTCCCAGATACTGCCAATAGGAAATGAAATATGTGTGATATTGATCTCTGGTCTAATATTGAAAGTTTTTGAGTTTAAAATCTAGGGCCTAGAATTGGTACAGTATTTGGCTCTATTTCATTACTTTTCTTCTGAACTTTTTTGGTAGTAAAATAAATTACTTAAGGTTGTACTTCCAAACATCAATCACAGGTAATGTCTGAAACACATAAGTTGATTTATAAAAGCTAATTTGTTTTAGGTTCAACATTTTCCAGCCTGGCAAATAATCCTTTGCCCAATCATCAAGAAATGCTATTTAAGACAAATGTAGTGGGGAAAGCTGCCGTGAAAATTTGATAAGCTGATAAATTTTTGGCTGTTATTTGCGAAGTAGACTTTTTTTTAAATATTATATTCAGATTTAGCCATTAAACACTTGAGTAACAGAATATATTCTATACAGGGGCCCTTGAAACCATTTCTTGTCACATAACATTTTAAAACTAAATTAAAATGTTTGCAGGGTATTTTTGACTTGTTTAACATTATTTATACTCTTCAGTATTGTATCAGATAAATGTAAAAAATAAACGAAATAAGATAAATTAGTTTCATATTAGCTGGGTGGTATTTGTATATTATATAAGCATTTCCTTAAACATCTAAAATTTTAATATCTTACTGGAATTTCTGAGAGCCTGATAACTGTAATAGTTACATCAACTCCTTCATATTTCCTAAGCTTTTTACATACTTAAACTCAGAACATTTTAATCAAATTTTCAAGATGTTTTGTTTTACTTTGTCATATATAATTGGTCTGTTTTGTTTTTTTTTAAATGGAAAATAAACTCAAGGAGTTATTTCCTAACTTGATTATTTTGAGGTTCTCTTTAAATTGTCTCCATTCTGACAGCTCCAATTTCCATTGCTTTTCTCTGGCAACAACTGAAAAAATTATCTAAACTGCCTACTGCCTTCTGAGATTAAAAAACTGCAAAATACATTCCAGTGTTACAGATTTTCCTTTTTCTGGGACTTGGAAAGACCTCTCACCCTAGGCCCAACTCATTATTTACCTGGCTACTGGATTCTTCTAACCAGTGTTGGTACAGCTGTTATGGTTAATCATGGCTGTGCCATGATTCTCAGTGTTTCGGCAGTGGTATAACATGATCACTTATAACTTCCCTGTTGAGATTTGATACGTGATCACGCACGATGGGATCTGCTGTGAGCAGCCAGTCAGTTAAAAGGGAGTTTCCTTGGGCATGTGGCCTGCATCCGAATATAAGCAGACATTCTGGCAGGGCTCTGGGGCTTTTGCTAGTTCTGGATCCTGCAGCTGGCTCCTGTTCGGCTGACCCCAGGTTCTTGGGACTTGAGCTAGCAGCTTACCTGCGGTCTTGCCTGCCTGCCGATTTTGGGATTTGTCAATCTTTGCAGCCTGTGAGCAAAAGCCCTGCTCTCCCACCTGCTGATCTTGGATTCACCAGCCCCTGTGGCTACGTGAATCAGGAGAAGCCTCTATCCTGATCCACAGACTTGGGCCGTTTCAGCCTCTACAACCGCGTGAGCCATTTCCTTGATATAAATCTCTCTATGTGTATATGTATACGCTTTACTAGTTTTGCCTTTCTAGAGAACCCAGGCTAAGACAACAAAGATAATTTCTTATGTTGGCTTTTTAAAGCAGTTCCCTAACAAAACGAATTTGCTACATGAACAAAGAAAAGTCTGTTAGAAATACCATACTGAATTATTTGAAGCAGGAGCTTTGATTAGCAAGTTAACACCTCTAGTGTTCACTATCTGCCTGCAGCTTAGGAAATCCAAAAGTGTTTTCACGTATGTACCTCTGGTAAATTAGATTAATTGAACATGTGGAGAAACAACTGCAATGAGTGGAGTGGAGTGAAAACAAATTCTAGCTAACTGCACCTCTTTGGAATGATTTTAAAAGAGAAAGAATGAAAGTCTCATAAACCTCAGCCTCTCCTAGTTTTCCTTTAATAAACAGAAACTAATTTCATAACCAGCAATGTAAGGATAAAACCAGCT